GTTTTCCTTTGTAATTTTTTCAAATAAGTTTTCAATTTCTTGCTCCTCCTCTTCTCCTTCTGGCACCCCCATGATTCAGATATTGGATCGTTTAAAGTTGTCCCAGAGGTTCCTAAACCTCTCCTCATTTTTTCAAATTCTTGTTTCTTCATTCTGTTCTGGTTGAGTGTTTTATCTTTTCTTCTGCTCCCAATCATTGATTTGACTCCTCGTTTCCTTCCTTTTTCTGTTGGTTCCCTATATATTTTTCTTGATTTCACTTTGCAGAATCTTCACTTTTTCCTCCATTTTGCAACCATACTCAACCATTTCTGTGAGCATCCTGATTACCAGTGTTTTGAACTGTGCATCTAATAGGTTGGCTAGCTGTTCATCGTTTAGTTCTGTTTTTATCTGTTCTTTCATTTGGGCTATATTTCTTTGTCTCAGAGTGCCTGTTATGTTGGAAGGGGCTGAGCCTTAGGTAGTGGCCAGGGCAGGGCAACCCAGGTCCCTGGGTCGTGAAGCTGTATGTGGGGAAGGGGTCTGAGAGGGATCAATGCTGCTTGCTTGGCTCTCAGCAGGATTTCAGTCACTTCCCCCATTACCCACAAGCAAATTGGGCCCTTTTAGTGCTGATGCCTGTGTAGGTGGGTACAGTCTAGGACCCTGTGCATCTCTTCAGTGAACTGTCCTGTGAGGCTGGGAGTTTTTCCTCCTGCCTCATCCCCCACAGGTTTTTACAGTCAGATGTTTTGAGGCTTTATTTCTCCATGCTGGAACACTGGGTTGCACAGTCTGTCTCGCTCCCTAGTTGTTTCTCCAGGTTTATCAGCATGTGAATATGGGACCGCCTAGCCCACCAGTCGCCACCTAGCCCACCAGGCCCACCAGTCACTGCCTTGGCGTGTCCTCTCTGCCCTGGCTGCCCATCTCTTCCCCTTCTACCAGTCTGGATGGATGTTTCTTCTTTAACTACTTGGTTGTCAAACATCCATACAGTTTGATTTTCTCACAGTTCATGTTGTTTTTAAATTGTTTGTTGTCCTTGTTTTGATTGTGCGAGGAAGCAAAGCATATCTACTTATGCCCCCATCTTGGCTGGAAGTTAGGTTTCCATTATTTTTAAAAGTAGTATGTTCACCCCTATCTACTACAAATCAAATATTTACTATTTTATTCTAAATTTTTTCGGTCGTGTTTTATGATTTGATACATTCTTTAACTTCATCCAGGAGATAATGCATTTTGAATGGAACCTGGAGAATCTCATAGAATCTAAGGGAAGCTGACCAACCAGGACTTAGGGTGACAAGAACCTCTTTCTCCCATGCCTTCAGGTCTCTTTGCTGTCTCTGCTTCAAAGTTTCTTTTTATAGACAGGCAGTGTCTCTTTCTCATGGGTGCTGCATGAATGTGGTGGTCTCTTTTCTATCACTCACATTTAAGTAAATAGCCTATGCCTATTCCACCCACTCAACTGAGTTCCAATTCCAAATTCCTTTGAAAAAGAGAATCTGATTGGCTCACCTTAGGCCAGGCATCTCCCTCTTGTTCAGTCAACAGAGGCTAAAGGACAGGGTTATGTGGGTCAGGTATGACGTTGGCGGCTGCTTTGAGGGTTGTTAATGGTTCACTGAGAAAGGAGGTTATCACAATTTGAATATCCCCCCAAAAGTTTCACTACAATTTATTATATTATCATACAATGTACCCTAACATCAATTTGGAGTCTTTTCTGTTCTATGAATTGGTTTGGCTGTGACATAATCTTAGGACTATCTGGCCTTGGGAATTCTGAATCTTAGGCCTTGGAGACCTGGAGGCAATCAACCTAGGCTTCCCTGGTGAGACTGATCACTTTTCTCCTAGACAGTCAACTTCTGAGTGGTAAAATGGCTTAATTCACTTAAGACACTGTGAAACTGACCTTGTTTTGGGATCTGGAATTAGTTTAAATTTCTTACACAAGATCACCAGCCTAAGAAATTCAGAAAGAAACAGGCTGGTCTTATACATATACTGACAGGCAATGACATATTCAAGTGTAGCCTCTGACATAGTTCTGAGATGATACCTAAAAGCTCTTTTAGAATACTGCTGTCAGCTTTCCTTTCTTAGAGTGGTGTTCAGCAATTTGTCCCTTTGCCTCTCAACCAACCCTTCTCCAGGCCCTCTTCGAAACAAAACAAAACAAAGCTATAAGGGCAGATATGTAGGTGTTCATAACTCCTCATACTCAAGAGGAAATTCACATTTCTGGGAGTTTCCTGACTGGGTAACAGCTCATTTTCTCCATTTCATATCCTATCCCCACAAGAGAACCATTGCATGGGGATGGTGGTTGTGGTGGTTCTCCCTTTATATCTAATGCGTAAGCCACCTTGGTCATTGTTTCTGCACAGTTGTTAGGGATGAGACAGTTCTTTATTGTGCATGACTGTCCCAAGAATTGCATCCCTGATCCTCAGTGAATTAACAGCCAGGGTACCACTCCAATATCATGAGAACCAAAAATGTTCTGCAAAGTTTCAGAATTCACTTGAGGATTAGTTGCACTCCTTTCAGATAACTCCTATGATGAGCCATTTTTATCTCTTCTTTCCAATGATCTCTTTGCATTATGTGGGCTGTTTAGATGTGAGTTAAGACCCTAGTACTTGGCCAAAAGTTTTTAGTTTTCTTGGGTCAGCATTTTTTTTTAATTTTTGAGAAAGAGAGAAAGAAACATCAATTTGTTGTTCCACCTATTTATGCATTCATTGGTTTATTCTTTTATGTGCCCCGACCAGGGATCAAACCCACAAGCTTGGCGTATTGGATGGTGGTCTAACCAACTGAGCTACCCAGCCAGGGCCTCTTAGATCAGCATTCTAATAGAGTTCTTAGGTTCCAATAACATTTTCTTATTTTGGATCCTTGGTCAACACAACTTTAGTCGATAAATGTTGCAAGTTAAAACACTTTCTAGAAAGTCTATGGTCTAACATGAAATCCGTGCTTGGGTCAAAATTCCTGATTATTTTGTAAGTAAGTCCAAACTGAACTCAAAGTATAAAGGGAATAGTTGCAGGGAATAGCAGGTAGAGATTTAGACTGGAAGTTTGGAGACTACTTACTAGCTGTGGGATATTGGGTAAATCAATTTTCTTCTCTTGGTTTCAATTTCATTTGTAAAATAGGGAGGTTGGACTACAGTCTCAGTTCCTTTCATCTCTAATGTGATTTTAAAAATCTGTGTCCTAATTCTACCATCCATAAGATTGGGATACTATGTGCTCACCTCTGAGGAAGACTCAACTTTCCTTAATGTTAGTGAAATATTCCAACATTGTGGCCAACCAAAAACTAGGCCCCTGCAATGATCTAAGCTTCCATGCAGATTTCAGAGGCCCAAAAACATTTTGAATGTTTAAAACTACTGTATAATATGAGTTTGTAAGTATTACTATAGCAAGATGTATTTCCCATAAGCCATCCATTTTGGAAGGAAAAAAAATCACTAGAGAAAGGGCAGTCCTTTATTAGGAAAGGAGAAAGGACACGTTTAATATTCTAATAGAGGACCAGTAAGAAGAGGAGCCAGGGGAAGAAGTAATCCCTGCCTACTTGTATCAGTGCCCAACCCCCCAACAATCTCCTGATATTTTCAGCCACAACATTGAACTATTTCTTGAGTGCTCCTTATGGAGCATGCACAGTATTGAGCTCATATATTCTTACCTCATGTAATCCTCACAATAATCCTATCTGTGCAAGTACTATGTTTACCAATAATTAGCAGAATGAATTCCAAATGCGTGACCCCCAAACCCAGGCTTTTGAGTCATCATATTTTACTTTTATTTGGTAGTGGGACAGGAGGTAGACTGATCTCCCTTTCCATAACCTCCTAGCACCCTAGACCTACTTACTCTAGTTTTGTATGCTGTTGAAAATATAATCCATCAGGAATCTGAAAGCTGGGCTTTAGTTTTGCTGCTCTGCATTTCTGGACAAGGCATTATAAGCTTTCTGGATCTCACTTTCCTTATTTGTAAAACAGAGAGCTACTTGAATGCAGGAGACCATATCCTACTCATCGTTTTCCCTTTGAATGTAGCAGAGTGTCGGGGCAAATAGTGTTCAAAAAGAACTTCATGAATGAAGGAATCTAAGGGGATAGACAAAATGGTCCTTATACTTCATTTCTCACTCTTTGGTTTTGAAACGGGTCCTTGACCAGGTAGGTGTACCATATATAGTAGTGCTTTGCCTTCTATTTTAAAAATAGAACAAGGCATGCCAAATTCTCATGACTTAACCTTTATTTTGAGAGGGTTGGTCTTGACCTATTATGTATGGTGTTTGTTTGGACCTGTCATTAATGTTTTCATCAAGGCGTCCTTTACTTCTCCAGACTAGCTAGTACTGCTGCATAACAGAAACAGCCCTGAGAAACTATAGTAATCACCGAGCGGGGCGGGAAACCAAGGATTTTCAGCTAAACCCTTCCGGGAAAGCAGCTCTGTAAATTTACGCAAAGTCTTTCCAGCACTAAGGGGATACCCCTTGGCTGGGAGAACCGGGTCCCCGGGTACACTTTGGTACTTGACTTTGCCATCATCTCTACTCTTTCCTGGACTTTTTGCAGGAGTTTCCTCACCTACAAAATGGTGGAGTTGTCCAAGGTCCGGAAGCTTCTCCTCCAGACCCAGCCTTTAACTCCGCCCCTTGAGGTTGAAGGCGGGGCGAGACGAAGGTCAGGCGAGGAGTCACCCCTTGCCTCCCGCCACTGGGCGGTGCCTTTCATCCTTCCCACTTCCCGCTCCCTTGCTACACCGCGGTGAGGTCACGCGGGGGACGTCACGGGGTTGTGACGCCACTGAGGGGCGGGCCTCCGGGAGAGGAAGGGGCGGGGCCTAGGAGGCTACGCTTGCGCAGTGGGCGCGGCGCGGTAGGAGGCGGAGGCGGCAGAGTAGCAAGAGGCGGTGGCCGCAGCGGCGGAGGCGGTGGTGTGGGGGGGGTGGGAGGGGGGGAGCGCGCGCGCGAGAGTGGCTGAGTGAGTTTACCCCTATGAGGCGGTGAGAGGCCCGGGGCCTACCTCAAAGGTGCGGGGTCGCGGCGCTAGCTAGCAGCGGGCCCCCTCCTGGTCCCCGGGCCCGGCGGCGCAGCGGCGGAGGCTCGGTTGTGAGGAGGTGGGGAAGCGGGTGTCCGGCCCCAGACATGGAGGGCATGGACGTGGACCTGGACCCCGAGCTGATGCAGAAGTTCAGCTGTCTGGGCACCACTGACAAGGACGTGCTCATCTCCGAGTTCCAGCGGCTGCTCGGCTTCCAGCTAAACCCGGCCGGCTGCGCCTTCTTCCTGGACATGACCAACTGGTGAGCCGGCCCTACCGCGCCAGCGCTGGCAGCGGCCTCGGGGCCCTGAGGAGGAGGGAAGGGACATCAGAGCCCCGCGGCAGGGAGGGCCGGGCGGGCTCTGAGGGGCACCTCCTTCCCGGGGCGGAGAAGGCGTGTACGGGCGCCCCAGGGGCAAGAGAGAGATTGGGGGCTTAGCAGGGTTCGAGAGGACGTACGAGGAGTGTTGGAGGCCATAGAGGGCAGGAGGGGCGGAAAAGAGATCGGGGCGGGGGGAGGGCCCCGAGGTTCTGTGAAGTACTAGGGGCCGTGGAACGTGGGAAGAGGGGAAAAGACTGAACCTCGAGGCATAGGGATAGACTTGGGAGTAAAGAGGGCTGTGTTGTTGGCTAATAGTAGAAGGCACAGGAAATTTGAATTTGGGGAGTGGAATAAAAGCTTCGGGTGTGGAGTTAGGGACTGAGGAACACAGGGATGAGGGGAAACTCCAGGGGAGTATTAGGTGATATGGAGGAACCTGGGGCGCGGGAAAGACTTGGGAATTAGGAGCTGAGAAGAACAGATATGTGTTTGTGTGTGTGTCCCCGTCCATGCGAGGATTGATAGGGAAAAGGAGAAGAATATTAAGAATGAGCATGGTGAGAGAGACGATTTTTCTGAAGAGTTGTGGAAGAGAGTGGTGGAATCTACTAGTAGGTCGGCTAATGGGAGACTGGGAGTCTTAGGCTTGGGGCAGGATCTGGGAAAAACCTTAGAGAAGTGCAGGAAAGTTCCCTTAGGGAAGGGAACTTTCTGAGAAGACTGGGACCCACTGCTCCAGAATTCCGGAATGGAGAGGGGGTTATCCGAAAGAAAGCTAGCTGAAAACGGAGAACTTGACTTAGGCTGGAGACTAAGAATTTTTATTTTGGAGTCTCCTTGGAGAAGATTGAAATTGGGCAGAAGACCATGGCCCTTAGACTAAAGGACTATTTCTTGGTTTTGGACGTAGCATTTGCTGTTTTTGATAAGCAAGGCTTTTCCTCTTGTTCTTTGAGGAGGGATTGTTGAGTTCATTCAGGGTGAGTGAGAAAGTGGAGACTAACAGACTTCCTTTGAAAAGATTTCAGGTAAAGAAACTCACCTTTCTTCGGTCAAAAAGCCATGGATGAATGCCCTTTGCTCTCTGTGTTGGGCAGTCTCTTGACACGTGGAATCTTGTTTCTCTTGGCATCATTTGTACAACTGTCCTCCCCTTTATTCCTTGCCCACTGAATGCCTCAGGCACTGCCAGAAAAAAAGAAAGAGGTTGTAAGCCTAGTCTTTATCCCATTCCTCATCTAGTTCTACCCAGAATGATGCTCATTTTACTAATGGGAGTCTTGTAGCTGTGACTGCACCAAAAGTGATATGTGAATATTTCCTGTGCAGCATCATTGATCAGTCCTATTATTTTATCTATAAAGTTGATTGTTATAGGAAGAGTGGGATTGAATTTTTAGATGTTTAGAGAGACATGGAATGCAGGAGATGGCCTTTAGGATTAAAGAAGTATTTGTCTGTATCACCTGAATCTTTTATGTCCAGGATGATCTCAGGCAGGGACTATTTTAAAATATTTTTCTGAACACCAAACCTATGGTGTTTAAGTAGAGAGCGACAGGGTTATTGAAAACCCTGAGAAAAGGTATTGCGCTGGTCAAATTGAGAAAGCTATCTGAAGAAGGGTTGTTCTCTTGCCTGTCTTCTTTTCCCACCCCAGCTCTTTTTCTTCCTTGTTTACACTAGTTTAGCAAAGGAAACTTGGCATATTGTTGCTGCCAGTTTGATAGGGGAGGATCATTATTTCTCCCCACCCCTTTGTGAGTTGTACCATTTAAACCCTGTCCTATTAAGTTTTTAGTTCTTTAGAGCCAGGGTTTACTAGTGCAATTATTATGGCTACAAACCAATGTAATGAATTTTATATGCTTGAGGGGGGGCAGGTGTGTGTGTGTGTGTGTGTGTGTGTGTGTTTAACAACTAAGATCATTTATTTTTAGGTGTTGTGAAAGATGAGGCCTAATGTGTGGATGGGGGAAAAATAACCTAAAAAATTATAGTTGCATTATAAAATTTTGTTTGAATTTTTATAAAAATTATTAAGCTCAAAGGTACAGAGTAGTGTATATTCTGATGAGATGTGATCTCTGTGTATAACAAGGTATGATACATTTCTGAATGAAGAAGTGAGGCACTAAAAAAATGTATTCTGGCTTTACAGCAGTTAGAAGCCAGTAACTTCTTAGGAATCCAGGCAATTAAATGAACACTGAGCTTTAAGTCACATTCATTTATTTTTTGGTTGTAGAAGTCATGTTTTTTGTTTTCTTTTGATTATAAAATGAAAAATCATTTGTGAACTGAAAGCAGTAAGACTTGTTGCTCTTTTCTAATGAATGCAGTTAGCTCCATAAACCAATATTGTGTTCTGAGTCCTTTGTTGATCTGGCTAAATTTGTCCTGATAGACTTTTGTTTTAAACAAATAACCATTGTAATTAATAAAATCTAATTAAAACGCATACATGCGTGGACATATTTGGTCAAAATATTTGTGTTTTTTAAGTAAATCTCTAAATTCTAGAAATGTATTGAGTATCAGTTAATGTCTAACTTTGGAACCTGTTGGGATGGCCTAGTACAGGTTGGCAAAATACCTCAAACTGCTGTGGTTAACCTGTTGAATTTAAGATAATTAACCTTCCTGTGACTTCCTAAGTGCCTGCTTCTCTGTGATGACTATTAAAAAATAATGTGGTAAACTAAGTTATTTTAAAATGAAGGCTGTGAAGTTCTAAAATAAGTTGGTAAGACTATGTTTTTGTTTTCCAAAGAATTTTTTGTTACTAGTAACAACTTTTTAAGAAGCTGTTGAAAAACTGACAAATTCAGTGTTTTAAGCCTTGTAAATTTTCTACCTGTAAAGACAGATTTTTTTTTTCCCTTAGGTTGGGTATATATTATGTTATGATATTTATATTTATTTAATTTCAAGTATCATTTCAACTTAAGCATTTTTCAGTGTTTATACTTGAGCTGGCAGCCATGCTCCTGGAAATGATGGAATTGCTTCTGACAAAAGTAGTCAATTTTTACTTCCCAATTGAGTACATAAACTGAGTATGTGGTATGGTGAAAAAACTCAGTATCTGGAGCCCAACTGAAATGACTTGTAGCCTAGTGTACTTTCTATAGGTGGAATTTTTTTTTTTTTAAATTGAATTTATTGGGTGATGTTGGTTAATAAAAATGTATAGGTTTCAGGTATACAGTTTTATAATGCATTATCTATAAATTGTATTGTATGTTCTCCACCCTAAGCAAGTCTCCTTTACCATTTGTACCCCCATATCGTTTTCTACCTTCCCCTACTGTATAGGTGGAATATGTTGCAGAGACACTATTGGGCTGTGAATATAGAACCTGGAATTCTAAAACTGGAAGTTGGTTTAAGAGGTTGTGTACTTCATTCCAGTTTTTCCTGCAGAATTGCATATAAACCTGCCAGGATAGCTTATTCTTGTGTCTCTGAGGGCAGAGATTTGCATGATACCTTAATTGTAGTGTTTAATTATTTTTCTAGTTGTAATTTGTCAAAACGAAGTCTCTCATTGCAATTTGAGCTTTAAAAAATTTTTTTAAAAGATTTTATTTACTTTTAGAGAGAGGGGAAGGGAGAGCGAAAGAGGGGGAGAAACATCGATGAGTTGCCTTTCACACACCCCTAACTGGGGACCTGGCTTGCAACTAGGTGGGGAATTGAACCTGTGACCCTTTGTTTTCGCAGGCAGGCACACAGTCCACTGAACTACACCAGCCAGGGCAACCTAAGCTTTTGTTTTTTTGTTTTTTTGTTTTTTTTTTTGCTATGTCCACCTTAGAGATGGAGAATATCTAATAAAAGCTATGCTTAAGAGGTCAAAAAGCTTCTGTTCAAACGCCAAAAATTTTCAACCATTTACAATGTAAACATATTCAATTTAATGGTTTCTCACCCTTTAATATAGGCTAAGTTTATAGTCTATAAGTCTAATATATTTTTAAAAAATTTATTGTTATACTCATAATAGATTATTATATATTTTTTAAATATTTGATTAATTTATTTATATAGAGAGGAAGGGAGGGAGAAAGCGAAGGAGAGAAACATCAAAGTTTGTTTGCATCTCACGCACCCCCCACTGGGGACCTGGCCTGCAACCCAGGCTTGTGCTCTGCACTGGAAATCGAACCAGTGACCCTTTGGTTTGCAGGCTGGTGCTCAATCCACTGAGCCAGGGCTAAGTCTAATATATTTATGTGTTTTTTTCAGGGGTAACTATACAGGAGTCAGGAGAGCTTACATATGGTTTTTTAAAAATTGATAAAATATACATAACAAAATACAATCTTAACCAATTTTAAGTGTACATTTCATCGTTAAGATTTTAAGTTTACATTTGTCCTTAAAAGTCGTTTGTCTTTGTTATGTTTTTAAAGTTAGTTGTACTTTAGCATTTATGGTATTTAAATGCATATGGTAAATGCATAATACATCTTTTAAAGTACATGTACTTTAGCATTATTAGCAAATAATACATCTCGATTTTTAGACGACATTAACTTAGGAGTTAGTAATGGCCTTATTTCTCACTGTACGTATAAGTAAAATATCTTTTTCACTAGCACATAGACAACATTGACTTTCTCTCGTATTCACTGGGCAAGAGCTTTGCAGTTTTAGTGTTGCAACATCCTAGGTTGCCTCCAGGTATCTTTCAGGAAGCAGTGTGTACTTTTCGGAATACTACACATGCATGTTCATCATGGATGGAACAGATGTTTTGTAGGAAAGTAATTTAGGGAAACCTTTTTTGTGAAACAGTGTCCTATTGACAATATCAACATTGTCAGAGGCAATAAAATAAAACCACTGTTATACAGTGAAGTGAAATCAGTATCTAGATGTGAAAATCAGTTGTACCTCTCGCATGATCTCAGTGTCTCCCCTGCCTGATCTCA